GACCATATATGTTTGGGTTAATTTCTGGGGTCTCTAATCTGTTCCACTGGTCTGTGGCTCTGTTCTTGTGCCAGTACCAAATTGTCTTGATTACTATGGCTTTGTAGTAGAGCTTGAAGTTGGGGAGTGAGATCCCCCCTACTTTATTCTTCTTTTTCAGGATTGCTTTGGCTATTCGGGGTCTTTGGTGTTTCCATATGAATTTTTGAATTATTTGTTCCAATTCATTGAAGAATGTTGCTGGTAATTTGAGAGGGATTGCATCAAATCTGTATATTGCTTTGGGCAGGATGGCCATTTTGACGATATTAATTCTTCCTAGCCATGAGCATGGGATGAGTTTCCATTTATTAGTGTCCCCTTTAATTTCTCTTAAGAGTGACTTGTAGTTTTCAGAGTATAAGTCTTTCACTTCTTTGGTTAGGTTTATTCCTAGGTATTTTATTCTTTTTGATGCAATGGTGAATGGAATTGTTTTCCTGATTTCTCTTTCTATTGATTCGTTGTTAGTGTATAGGAAAGCTACAGATTTCTGTGTGTTGATTTTGTATCCTGCAACTTTGCTGTATTCCGATATCAGTTCTAGTAGTTTTGGAGTGGAGTCTTTAGGGTTTTTTATGTACAGTATCATATCATCTGCAAATAGTGACAGTTTAACTTCTTCTTTACCAATCTGGATTCCTTGTATTTCTTTGTTTTGTCTGATTGCCGTGGCTAGGACCTCCAGTACTATGTTAAATAACAGTGGGGAGAGTGGGCATCCCTGTCTGGTTCCCGATCTCAGTGGAAATGCTTTCAGCTTCTCGCTGTTCAGTATAATGCTGGCTGTGGGTTTATCATATATGGCCTTTATTATGTTGAGGTACTTGCCCTCTATTCCCATTTTGCTGAGAGTTTTTATCATGAATGGATGTTGAATTTTGTCAAATGCTTTTTCAGCATCTATGGAGATGATCATGTGGTTTTTGTCTTTCTTTTTGTTGATGTGGTGGATGATGTTGATGGATTTTCGAATGTTGTACCATCCTTGCATCCCTGGGATGAACCCCACTTGGTCATGGTGTATGATCCTTTTGATATACTGTTGAATTCTGTTTGCTAATATTTTATTGAGTATTTTTGCATCTACATTCATCAGGGATATTGGTCTGTAATTTTCTTTTTTGGTGGGGTCTTTGCCTGGTTTTGGTATTAGGGTGATGTTGGCTTCATAGAATGAGTTTGGGAGTATTCCCTCTTCTTCTATTTTGTGGAACACTTTAAGGAGAATGGGTATTATGTCTTCTCTGTGTGTCTGATAAAATTCCGAGGTAAATCCGTCCGGCCCCGGGGTTTTGTTCTTGGGTAGTTTTTTGATTACTGTTTCAATTTCTTTGCTTGTAATTGGTTTGTTTAACTTTTGTGTTTCTTCCTTGGTCAGTCTTGGGAGGTTGTATTTTTCTAGGAAGTTGTCCATTTCTTCTAGGTTTTCCAGCTTGTTGGCATATAGGTTTTCATAGTAGTCTTTAATAATTCTTTGTATTTCTGTGGAGTCTGTCGTGATTTTTCCATTCTCATTTCTGATTATGTTGATTTGTGTTGACTCTCTTTTTCTCTTAATAAGTTGGGCTAGAGGCTTATCTATTTTGTTTATTTTCTCAAAGAACCAGCTCTTGGTTTCGTTGATTTTTGCTATTGTTTTATTCTTCTCAATTTTGTTTATTTCTTCTCTGATCTTTATTATGTCCCTCCTTCTGCTGACTTTAGGCCTCATTTGTTCTTCTTTTTCCAGTTTTAATAATTGTGATGTTAGACTATTCATTTGGGATTGTTCTTCCTTCTTCAAGTGTGCCTGGATTGCTATATACTTTCCTCTTAAGACTGCTTTCGCTGCATCCCACAGAAGTTGGGGCTTAGTGTTGTTGTTGTCATTTGTTTCTATATATTCCTTGATCTCTATTTTGATTTGTTCATTGATCCATTGATTATTTAGTAGCATGTTGTTAAGCCTCCATGTGTTTGTGAGCCTTTTTGTTTTCTTTGTAGAATTTATTTCTACTTTCATACCTTTGTGGTCTGAAAAATTGGTTGGTAGAATTTCAATATTGTGGAATTTACTGAGGCTCTTTTTGTGAGCTAGTATGTGGTCTATTCTGGAGAATGTTCCATGTGCACTTGAGAAGAATGTATATCCTGTTGCTTTTGGATGTAAAGTTCTATAGATGTCTATTAGGTCCATCTGTTCTAGTGTGTTGTTCAGTGCCTGTGTGTCTTTACTTATTTTCTGCCCGGTGGATCTATCCTTTGGGGTGAGTGGTGTGTTGAAGTCTCCTACAATGAATGCATTGCAGTCTATTTCCCTCTTTAGTTCTGTTAGTATTTGCTTCACATATGCTGGTGCTCCTGTATTGGGTGCATATATATTTAGAATGGTTATATCCTCTTGTTGGACTAAGCCCTTTATCATTATGTAGTGGCCTTCTTTATCTCTTGTTACTTTCTTTGTTTTGAAGTCTATTTTGTCTGATATTAGTACTGCAACCCCTGCTTTCTTCTCACTGTTGTTTGCCTGAAATATGTTTTTCCATCCCTTGACTTTTAGTCTATGCTTATCTTTGGGTTTAAGGTGAGTTTCTTGTAAGCAGCATATAGATGGGTCTTGCTTTTTTATCCATTCTATTACTCTATGTCTTTTGATTGGTGCATTAAGTCCATTTACATTTAGGGTGACTATTGAAAGATATGTACTTATTGCCATTGCAGGCTTTAGATTCGTGGTTACCAAAGGTTCAAGGTTAGCTTCTTTAGTATCTTACTGCCTAACTTAGCTCGCTTATTGAGCTGTTATATACACTGTCTGGAGAGTCTTTTCTTCTCTCCCTTCTTATTCCTCCTCCTCCATTCTTCATATGTTGTGTGTTTTGTTCTGTGCTCTTTTTAGGGGTGCTCCCATCTAGAGCAGTCCCTGTAGGATGCCCTGTAGAGGTGGTTTGTGGGAAGCAAATTCCCTCAGCTTTTGCTTGTCTGGGAATTGTTTGATCCCACCATCATATTTAAATGATAGTCGTGCTGGATACAGTATCCTTGGTTCAAGGCCCTTCTGTTTCATTGCATTAAGTATATCATGCCATTCTCTTCTGGCCTGTAGGGTTTCTGTTGAGAAGTCTGATGTTAGCCTGATGGGTTTTCCTTTATAGGTGACCTTTTTCTCTCTAGCTGCCTTTAAAACTCTTTCCTTGTCCTTGGTCCTTGCCATTTTAATTATTATGTGTCTTGGTGTTGTCCTCCTTGGATCCTTTCCGTTGGGGGTTCTGTGTATTTCCGTGGTCTGTTCGATTATTTACTCCCTCAGTTGGGGAAGTTTTCAGTAATTATTTCTTCAAAGAGACTTTCTATCCCTTTTCCTCTCTCTTCTTCTTCTGGTACCCCTATAATACAGATATTATTCCTTTTGCATTGGTCACATAATTCTCTTAGTATTGTTTCGTTCCTGGAGATCCTTTTATCTCACTCTATGTCAGCTTCTATATGTTCCTGTTCTCTGGTTTCTATTCCTTCAATGGCCTCTTGCATCTTACCATTCTGCTTATAAATCCTTCCAGGGGTTGTTTCACTTCTGTGATCTCCTTCCTGACATCTGTGATCTCCCTCCGGACTTCATCCCATTGCTCTTGGATTTTTCTCTGCATCTCATCCCATTGCTCTTGCATTTTTCTCTGCATCTCTCAGCATGTTCATGATTTTTATTTTGAATTCTTTTTCAGGAGGACTGGTTAGGTCTGTCTCCTTCTCAGGTGTTGTCTCTGTGATCTTTGTCTGCCTGTAGTTTTGCCTTTTCATGGTGAAATAGTTTGTAGAGCTTGTACGAGTGAGCTGGAAGGGCTTTCCTTCTTGTTGGTTTGTGGCCTTCCTGTCCTGGGAGAAGAGCGACCTCTAGTGGCTTGTGCTTGGTAGCTGTGCGCAGACATGGCTTCTGCTTCCTGCCTGGTTGCTATGGAGTTTATCTCTGCTGTTGCTGTGGGTGTGGCCTGGCTGGGGCTGCTCCTCCAAAATGGTGGAGCCCCATTGGAGGGGGAGTGGCCAGGAGGCTATTTTTCTCGGTAAGGGGCCTCTGTGCTCCCTGTTGCCCAGGGGGTTAGAGTTTCCAGAGATCCCCAGATTCCCTCCTTCTGGGCTACATGTCCTGTCCCGCCCCTTTAAGACTTCCAAAAAGCACTCTCCAAACGAAAACAAGAACAGCAACAAGAAAAAAAAAAATTAAATAATTTTTTAAAAAAAGGAAAAATGCGCGTTTTTCTTTGTCCTCAGGCGCGCCGCTCTCAGGCACCCACTCACCGGTCTTGCTGCCCTGTTTCCGTAGTATTGGGGTCCCTGTCCCTTTAAAGCTTCCTAAAAGCACTCGCGAATCCTGGGGCTGGGTTTTCAGCAGTCCTGGGCTCCCTAACCCTCCTTGCTGACTCCTCTCCACCCACCGGGAGCCGGGGGGAGGGGCGCTCGGGTCCCGTCTGGCCGGGACTTGTATCTTACCCCCTTCCTGAGGTACTGGGTTCTTGCAGGTGTGGATGTGGTCTTGATGTTGTCCTGTGTCCTCTGTCTCTATTTTAGGAAAAGTTGTCTTTGTTATATTTTTATAGATAATGTGGTTTTTGGAGGAGATTTCTGCTGCTCTACTCACGCCGCCATCTTTTCCCCACCCTTACATTATATTTTTAAGGATAAACTTCAAATTTTTATCTTCCTAGGGAATATAATAAATCTGCTTATTTTGGCTATTGCTAGTTCTGAAAGGCTTGTTTTGTATAAAAGCTTAGCATATATTTAGAAAAAGTAGAATATCTTTATATTAATATGTTTCCAAATAATCATAGGTAAGGTAATTTTATTCTTAACGGTGATTAGAAATAATAGCTTGAAGGTGTTAAAAATTTAAAGCCTAGCTAATTCACATTTGGATTTTTTTTTCATTGGAATGTAGCTTTTCAGTATTCTCCTATCTGCTTTAATCAACCATTATCTGACAGGTCCTGGAGATGTTAATTCACAGAGATGGGGAATTTCAAGAGTTAATGAAATTGGCACTTAATCAGGGAAAAATCCATCATGAAATGCAAGTTTTAGAAAAAGAAGTAGAGAAGAGAGACAGTGATATTCAACAACTACAAAAACAACTAAAGGAAGCAGAACAAATACTGGTAAGTTGACAGAGGCTGATTCTTAAAGTTAAAAAGGATATTGCCTTATCTATTTCTGAAACGTAAATCTATTATCAGTATTTTGAATTGGCAGGAAACTTGTCTTTCCAAGTCTGAAAGTGACAATTTGTCAGTTTGATTAAATGAGAGGTCATTGCCATTCCTTTTTTTACTTCCTGTTTTCAGGTAGTCTGCACTACTTTTAAACCATATTTTCATTATTTAAAGATTTCACAGGATTAAATTAATAGAAATGGTAAGTTTTATTTTTAACCTGTACTGGTAAAAGTTTCCAGTTATTAGTAGTCTAAACCTTCAGCTTTTAAAATATTTTGAAATCAGTAAAATATGTACCAATTTTATAAATTGGTTAAAATTTACATTAGTTTATTTAGTCTTTCATTCTAAACTAGCTGGGATTTGGATATATGTCAAGGACTCATGTTTTCCTTTCTTGTTTTTGGCTGCTGTTTAAAAGATGCAATTTACTTGCTATTATTTGCCCAGTTATTTCATTAAATACTAACTAATATAATTTTATGTGGTAGTATTGCAGACAGCTGACTTTGATTCTCATATGGACCAGACATTGCTGGCATCCTTATCCCTGATGAATCTCTTCAAAATGTGTCAAAATGGGCTCTCATACATAGAAACCTGTGTGGTTGAGGGTAAATTAACCAGTCCTGCTGAAGAAGCAACCTTGAGTGAATACTTTTTCAGAAATATAGTATAAAATCTGTTTTCCATTAGGAACATAGTATTTGCTTATTTAAAGGTACAGAAAGTACAGTAAAGTAGAAAGAAGAAAAAATACGGACCGCTATTTCCACTGTTCAAAGACTGTCACTATTCACAGTTTTGTGCATTTCCTTTGTGCTTTTATACAAAACAAGCCTTTCAGAACTAGCAATAGCCAAAATAAGCAGATTTATTAAATTGCCTGGGAAGATAAAAATTTAAAGTCTATCCTTAAAAATATAATGTAAGGGTGGGGAGAAGATGGCGGCGTGAGTAGAGCAGCAGAAATCTCCTCCAAAAACCACATTATCTATAAAAATATAACAAAGACAACTTTTCCTAAAATAGAGACCAGAGGACACAGGACAACATCGAGACCACATCCACACCTGCAGATGTATTAATTTTTTATTTTGTAATAGCGCATTTTTCCTTTAATTATATCCTCTTTATTTTTCCAAATTCCTGTTGTAAATAGTGTTTTGATGAATATCCTTGCAAAACAGCTTTTTTTTCTTCTGTATTTTGGAATATATTCTTTAGATGAGATTTCCAAAAAAGTCTTTATTGAGTTAAAGAAAGTGAACACAAGGACCATAAAAAGATTGAGTTTTCTGGTTTAGGTAAATAGCAGCTAACATTTATTGAGCACTTGTGCACCAGGTACTGTGTTTGTACTTAACATGTTTTGTCTCAATCTTAACAGTTATAAGAGGTTGATAGCAGTATTCTATTTTATAGGTGAAAAACCAAGATTTTAATTGAATAACTGCATTGCTTACGGAGGGTAAAAAGTAGAGATGGAACTTAAACCTGGATCTTTCTGACTGTAATCACTGTGTTATATTTGAGAATGCATGTACTGGATTAACTTCATTTTACCCTTTAGTATACTTTTGTGAGGGTGGGGGTTAGTGAGAGTTTTTCCTTAAGCATGGAGGTAATGGTAATGTATAAGTGAATAAAGACTATCAATCTAAGAAGGTATCTTGTAAACTAAAAAAAAATTTGATATTTTATTCTTGAATTAGGTACCAGAATAGGATGCTTTGGGGGTGGTATGTAGTCTGGATCTCTTCTGCATGTTTGTGATAGACGTTAGGAAGCAATCCAACTTATACTTTAACAACAAATTTGTAAATGGATACTGACTCATGAATGTATAATATTTTCTCATTAACTAACTGATGCAAATGATACTACTCACATGGAGTTTCAGAACATTACAAATAATTTCTGGGGATTTCCAAATTTTGTGTATCGTGCCTATGGTATAAATTATTTTGTGAAGCCAAAAACTGTACTTGATGTAGCTAAGAATAAACCATACTTCTTTTTTTTAATGTTGTTTAAATTAGGCAACAGCTGTTTACCAAGCAAAAGAAAAACTCAAATCAATAGAAAAAGCAAGAAAAGGTTAGTACTGTGAACACTGAACAACATCCTAAAAATCCAAATTTTGGTATCAAGACACTGATGAGAGTATTTTTGGTAATCACACTGCTGTTGAAAAGGTTCCAATAAATTTTCATTGTAAAGTGTCTACCGTGTTCTAGCACTGTGCTAGGTATTGTTAGAGAGGTATCTCATCTCTTTTCAGGTTATAAGAAGCAATATAAAGCAAGTTATGGCTGTGTACTCCAATGTGCAGTACAGATGGTGGGTTTATAAAATTGTTGGGAGAAGGGAAGACAACCATGGGCTGGAAGCAAGTGGGATTTCAGTTGGATCTTGCAAAATAGGACAGAATGAGAGGGAACATCTATTGGACAACTGGAGTGGGACTAGAACATGAAGTCAGAAATAGACATAGACGTGGCTTTGGGATGTGTGCACGTTTAGTAGTGCAGAAGCCTGGCACGACTTTTTTCTGGCCCTGTTTCTCTCTCTAAAAGGCTTTCATTTTTGATCTTACAGTTTGCATACTAAAATCAGATTAAAATGAAAGCTTTGGCTACTTGTTTTTCAGTTATTTGTAGATACAATTTACATTTAGTAATCTTAGTTGTCTGACTTTCCTCTTTTCCTGTTTCACATAGCTATTGTTAATGTTGGGTGTGTGTTTCTTCCAGATTTTTTTTGATCTGTAATCCATACATAACAAGAACAATAGCAAATACATACATGTACATATATTCTGAAACAAAACCAGGTCATGCTATATATGTATTTATCAGTTTTCTTTTTTCCACCTAATGAATATATTGTGGACTCTTTCTATGTACATCTATTTATACAGCCTTAGGGGGACATTAAGCAAACAATTGAGTGGTATAGTGTGAAGTGCTGCCCTGATTTAATAGCTTGCATGTCATTGGGAGAAGAAACACTTTTCTCTACTTTATTTGTGTTTACTGTTGCTTTCAGAACAATAAGAGTATTTAATGATAGTTAATAATTGACATTATTGAGTGTAATCATGCTAGTGTCCCAAATTTGATACTTGAATTTTGTTGGCTGATTTTTCTCAGTATCTTGCCCTTTAGTTTGGAAATACATAATTTTAAGTTTTACCATACATAATAGGCATTATTAGGGAAGGGAGGTAACTCAGATTATCCTGTTTTCAGATAATTTAAAATTAGGTGTGATGTACAACTGTGATGTATGTTTACTAGACTAAAATGTTACACTGTCCTCTTGACTCAGGTGCTATCTCCTCTGAAGAAATAATTAAGTATGCGCATAGGATTAGTGCAAGTAATGCTGTGTGTGCCCCACTGACCTGGGTTCCAGGTAAAAATACTTCTCTTTTTATTAGATACATGTGGTTTTGAAAAATGTTAGGTGACTATACAAAGAAACAAGAAAGAAAGATTTAAATACAGAATATCCTTAAAAACAACTGCTACGTATTTTCATGTCTTTAATGTCTTATAAGTAATAATATAGGGCCATGGGTTTTATCATTTTGGTTTTCTACAAAACTATTGCCACTAGGGACTGTGTTTCTTTCCTTTTTAAAAAGTAATAACTAACTTTAGTACAGGGTAATATGTGATGATTCTAAAGCTATAGATTTATATGCCTGTAAAACCCAGGCTTTCCGGAAGTCAGTTTCTTAGAGCCATTAGGATTTCCACAAGAGTTCCAGCCTGGCAAACAGGCCATCCCAGCTCTGAGGTGATGAAGCTGAAGCGCTGAGCACCCAGCAGCAGAACACAGGCCTCTGCAAAGAGCTGGAGTGATTACCAACAGCAAAAAGTAACTAGCTGTAGCCTATGTTGGCAGTAGGGAAAACATTCGTAAGCACAGACCTAAGATAGAGCAGCAGTATTTTGGGAGGAGTGGGAGATAGTTACTCAAGTTCAGTAACTCCTGATGGTGGCATTTTACCATACTAAAAACACTTAGGGTAACTGCAGTTGTGGCAGGAAGTAATCGAGTTTATGAGAAATACTACCAAAAGGTTAGTCCAAATCTAGCCACGCTTTGATCAATCCAAAACTGAACAGTATGATTTCCTGATTGGAAATGAATAGTATTGGCCTTATATTCCACTGAAGTTCTAGGAATTTGTCTTTAAAGAGTTTGGTTAGAAAAAGGTTGTAATTCAGACAACCCTGCCAGTAAGCACTCCAGTCCTTTCTGTCTTATAAAAAAAAGTGTCATGATCTGTTTTCCCTCGAAGTATATACCATTGTGATTTTCTTACTAGAAAATGCAGGTAAATCAATTTTTATTTTTTTTAGGGGACCCACGGAGACCATACCCAACTGATTTAGAGATGAGAAGTGGATTATTGGGTCAGATGAACAATCCTTCCACTAATGGTGTGAATGGTCATTTACCAGGGGATGCACTTGCAGCAGGCAGATTGCCAGGTAACATTAATCAGAATGCTTTTAAACAGACCAAGGGTTTTCAGGCATCATGACGGAATATCTGGCTGTTGAACAAGTTTGAGGCTCCATACCCAACTCATTTTAACAGCTAGGTTCTCTGTCAGTTTATTGTGCTCTCTGCTGAGTTGAAAGATGTTCTAGATGGAGGTTATGAAATTAGAATAAAGTGACTCTTTCTCTCCGTTTGTTAATATGCCATTTTCCTCAGGCAGTTAGGCCTCCCCTCTTTTGTTACTAAGCTTAAAGCTTTTTTAAAATTGTGAAACATACTGTATAAGCAGAATAAGAGATGCAAATATTTGATTAAAGAATACAAAGTGAACACACTCCTGAAGAACCCAGATTAACAAAATTACTAACAAATCTTTTTATATACATTTTAATAACTAAATGAACTAATGTTTTTGTAAGACTCCCTTTCATTCTGAGCTTCAGCCTTAAATTTTGCCTATAGGTTTGTGCTATTCTGTATTATAGTCTATAATTTATATTATGTTCTCCATTGTTACCTTCTGGGGTAAGTTGTTTTGATTTGGTAGAACACTTAAAAGTAAAAAGCCATAAGAAAAGGAAAAATATTACCCTTTTTTGAGTGATTATTTTATCTTTTTCATTTTTCCTGTATTTATATATTGTTAAAAACATGCTATAGATAATGCTTTTTTAAATGTTTCATTATAAGGATGTACTGTTATTAAAAATGCTACTTGTAAGCATAAGCATTATTTTTGTTAACCACCTAAAGTACAAACTGGGAACTCAACTATACATTAGTTTCCCTGGATATCATTTTTCCCATTGTGATTGTATCTTATCTTATGTCAGTCCAGTCAGGAGAGAGAAACCACACCAGCAATATGAATCAGGAAAATATAAAGAATTATCAACTATAGTAACAAGATATTAATGACTAAAGGATTAAGATAACTATTTTTTATAAAACAGTAATAACAGATATGGGGAGCAGCTAGGGCCAAGGAAGGCCAACCAAGATGACTCCTCCCCAGCCCAAGCCTGAAGGTCAGACATGGTACCCGGGCTGGAGAAGGTATAGCTGTGGCCCCTACAGAGGAGGCATTCACAGGTCAGAGCTGGCAAACAGGAAATCATCTCTTAGGGTTCTGGGGAGACATGCTCAGAAGCCTACCTTTGGGATAACAGTGAAACTTACTGGGAAGCCACCCTCTGGGGTGCCACTGAAACTTGTTGGGTTTGAACACCACTTGATGGTCTGCACACCAACCAGGCATCACAGAGCAGGAAGGAAAACATCGGATGCAGGAAGAGATGCCTGTTCTTGTAGAGTCCCTCAAGTACCCCCTACTAACAAAGTCTAACACTGTGGCTGCTGACAAAGCAGAAATATTTTCGGGTTCAGGGGGAAGAAGAGTGGATCTGAAGCTGAAGAGGCAGTTGAAACTTAATACTTAGTATATTACATGTTATTAGCTGTTTATAATATATATAGAGAGAATATGTAGTAGACGTAACACATGGGCATATAATATATGTAGATACAGGAAGTATTTGATTTGTAATTGTGAATGTCTTATAAAAGAAAAATTAGGTCAACTGACAATGAATAGTTACAGATAAGTCTGATATTTTAAAAACAAAACACAGGTTCTAGTTACTAAAACATGCTTTTCCTTGATAAATTTGGCTAACTACATATTTTGATTTCTAGCCTTAAAACAATATTTACTTCAGATTATTTGCTTGAAGGGAAAAGTACTTAAGAAGGAGATAATTACTAGTAGAAGTGTTCTTACATTTGCTTCTTTCTTTTCCCCAGATGTTCTTGCTCCGCAGTATCCATGGCAGTCAAATGATATGTCAGTGAATATGTTACCACCAAATCATAGTAACGACTTTTTGTTGGAACCTCCAGGGCATAACAAAGAAAATGAAGATGACGTAGAGGTCATGTCCACAGACTCCTCGAGCAGTAGTAGCGATTCTGATTAAAAAATACCATAAAAGACAAAAAGCATACAGAATTGCATGCTGTAGAATTCTGTGTCTTAAACAATAGCAAACTTGTAAAAGTAACCAGGTAATAATGGCTATAGTGGAATTGTGCAGCCCGTTAAAATCACAGTGGACTTTCTTTTTAAAACCAAAAATTGTGGTTTCAGTTCTAAGCCACTAGTTAAATTTTTAGGGAATAATCCAAAACTTACTGTTGGAAAAGAAAGATGAATCAGTTCATTACCATCTAACCCTGTTCTGGTTGTGTTGGGCTTGTACATAGTAGTTCTGGAAATAAGATTTGAGGGAAATGACCCATGTATGTGTCACTAATAGGCCCCTTGGGATTATTTAGAAGAGTATTAAAGGCAGTGGATCACTGAATGTGCAACATATCTCAACAAGAACTAAAGTAAAGGCTATTAGTTGCTGTCACAGGGTCAGAAGAATTCTCAATGTGTACTATTTGTAATTATTGTAATTTTTGTAAATGAACTCACTTTTGTTTGTACTCTGCTTTTTCTCTAATAAACCTTCAGTGTAGGTAGGAAATTATTTCTGTAAATCTAGTTGCATCTTACACATAAATAGAGTTCTTCAGTGTGAATGAACATGGTGTAATGTATACATCTGGACTGGTAATCATAACTGGTAGGTTTCTCAGAGGTCCATATTGCCATTCTTAGAAGAAAAAAATTAAGTAGCTTTTGAATAATTGAAAACACTTGTAATATGTCTGATCTTAAGAGTAACAAATTGTATGAAAGGTTTGAGAATGGAAAACTCTCTTGCCTTCACTTCCCATCTTCTGCAGTTCCCAGAAGGAATCACTTTAAACCACTTTTCACTTCCCCAAATCTTGTTCACCAACCCAGGAGCTCTTGGAACTTCATCCTTTTGGGTTTTTATGGAGGCTTCATTACATAGCACCATTGAGTAAATCATTGGCCATTTAGTGATTCAACCTTCAGCTCCTCCTCCCTCCCAGAAGTTCGAATGGGACGGAAAATTCCAACCCTCTAATCAAAAGATCGGCTCCTTTAGCAACCAGTCCCCATTAGGTGCTTTTCTAAAAGTCACTCACTCATTAACATAACAGTAACATCTCCATTCTCAACACTTAGGGAGTTCTAAGAGTTTTAAGAGCTGTGAGCCTGGAACTGTGAACAAAGACCAAATATATATATATGTATTTCTTATAAATCACAGTATGTAGGGGCATGACTGGCACACAACTCAGCCAATAACATCACCCAAGAGCCTGTATAAACCTAGTAATTCATGAATGTTTATTGTAACGAGATAGTTGCTTTTTTATTTTAGATTCAGTTTGGTATATAAGTTTGCATATTAAGTCCCTTGTTTAATCAATATATATAATACACTTAAGACCATTATACTGAATTCAGTTAATCAATGTTTTAATTAACATGTATTTTTGTTGTATCTTTTAACAAATTTGTTTTTTCGGCAATTTTTATAAAACCCAATCCTTGGTCATGATAATTATCTCCCCAATCATAAAGTTTGTATGGGTAAATGATTTTGTTAACTACTGACTTTATGGTCATTCAATGGATTTTTGTTGTCCCAAAGTGGGTAATACTTATATTCCTTAAATAAGGCATACTAGCTCATAAATCTTTTGCTGAAATCTCCCTTCTAAATGTCTTTGCCAACTTACCTTGTAGGTATACAAAATCAAAGAATTAGTGATCATATGGAATAGGTTTCAGTTACACTGAACTCCCATCGATTGGTGCTGGTTGCTGTTGAAAAGTCTTCCTGGGCTGATCTGGGATCAGTCAGTGAGAAGGAATATTTGCCATTGCGATGCTGTCTGGTGCCCACAGATACCCATAGCTATCTCCCTTCCCTCCCCTCTCCTTATGTTTGAACACCTTCTAGATGCTGAGGATTCAGTAATGTGTAAGCCCTACCTTCCTGGACTTTATGAGACGGGGCAGGGAGGGACAGATAATAAGCACTTACACAAATGAATAGGACAAATCCAGATAGTGGTAAATTTGGTAAACAAATAAAATGAGTTCCAAATTCAACACTTATGGCAACACCCTTGCTTTTCAAATAAGGTAAAAAATACCTCCTAAGTTGTGTCAGGGACCAGAAGGGTGTCCAAAGACAAATACATATATGAGTGTTAAAGTTAGTATGATTAAAAATATTATGGCAAAAAGTTGGTTAAGACATAAGTCTCTTGATGAAGGATAAGCCAGGTTTGCAAAATTTAATTTTTTTAATAGAATCAAGAAATATGCTGTTGGATTGCTACTTTTCTTATACTGAAAAGTTCATCCTTTGATCCTGGAATACTGAAAGGAAAAGTCTGACACCTACTGTAGTGAACATTTATTTAAATGAACATGCCTGATGTAGGGGCAGAAAGCTTTCCCCTTCTTCCCTTCCAGATTCTTTGGCAGATCTAAATAATTAAATTGACCTCAGACAGATTTAAAGAGAAAACCAAGTTTTGCATATATGGGAGCTCCATAAAATATGAGACTCGGGACAGTCAGGTAATTGAAGCTTCTGTACCTTCCTGAGCTGAGGTGGAGTGGGGAGGGATCCTTAATGGGGGCAGTGGAGGGGCAGTTCACAGGATCTCGAGGACATATGCTCGGTAAGTAAATGTTTGCTGTGCTATGCAGATAAGTCTGGGTATGACAGGTTATTTTTGGTAATAGTTCTCTTTCTGGCAGAGGCCTCCCTATCTAATTTTCTTTTAAGCAGTTAAGGTGGAGGTAAGATGCTCTTCCTAATTGTGCTGGGCCTTGTTTGTCTTCAGGTCAAGATAATCCACAAGCCAATGTGGCATTCTGAGGGGGGGCTTGTTCTGAACACCCCACTGACCTGTATTTGATGCTATTATGTGCTGCAAGTGTGAGAACAGATGTTTATCTGAAAGGTAAAGAAAGTATGTCCAATATTATGGTTCTCAAACAAATCTCATTTTCTTAACAAACTATCCACAAAGTCAACGATCCATGTAGGGAAGGAAACCTTTTCCTTGCTTACCTTCTCAGTTCTTTGGCTAGTCTAATAATTAAATTGACATAGGATGGAATAATAGGAGAAAAACAATTATAATTTTGTATGTGTAGGAGCCCACAAAATATGAGACTCAAAGAAGTGACCAAGGCAGGCACTTTTCTACCTTTTAGACAAAGAAATGGTAATTTTGTGAAGAATTGATGAGATAAAGGGGTTTGGGCTGGGGAAATAATTAGTGAAGAAGTAACAAGGTTTCTTAATATAGCCTTTATTGGCCCTGAATTCCATCTCTGGTAGTAAGGTGTCTCTTTTCCCCCTGGTATGGGGAAGACATCTCTCTCAGGTTAGATTTACTTTCTGCTTTCAGGGGGACAAAGGAAGGTCAGAGATCCTTCTTGTACCAGCTGTTTTGTAAGTACCCTTAATTCAAAATAATCAATATGACAAAATAGTATATTATGTGGGGTGGCATATTTTGCTCCCCTTCAACATTACTCATTTCTCTGTCATTGAAAATATAATTGCTGCACATTTGGTATGGAAACATCTCAGGCATCACTATTTTGTGCTGTAAGAATTGGATTTTTCAAGATTCCCTCTGCTCATTTTTTTTCTAAGCTGGGAAGTCTTCCTGTATATCAGCAGAGTACTGTGTGCCTCTTTACTGTGTAACAATAGGGTTTCATTTTGATCAAGTGTGAATGGTAATGTTGATATTTGGCCAAATTTATTATAATAGGATTCCATTCAAAGCATTCAAAGTTTAGAATAATGTGATTTAGTATTACAGTTGCCTATAGGAAAAGCACACCCTTATTAAGGATGTTAGATTCATGCAAAGCACAACAGCCATATGGGTTATACTGCAAACTGTCTCAAAAGCTCTATTTCTCTAAGTGTGCCCAAAAAGCCAAGTGCATCGGAATCACCTAGGTGGCTCTTAGAAGGTAAATTCAAGAACCTGCTCATTATCTGCTGAATGGGAAACTGAAGCATTCCCATTCAAGTTTGAGCAATGTAGCCCTAAAGCCTTTAAGGACCATTCTCAGTCACTGTCATTCACAATCCAGGAAACTTAGCACCTCTTCACTCTAGGTGTTTTCACTTGTAAACCAACACAGACAAAGAACTAAACAACAAATAAACCCAAACAGAAAAATAAGTAGGACTAAGTAATATCTTATGAGCATTTATGGGGCAGTGGATTGGATAACAAATGAGAGTTTCACATGTACCTCAAATAAATCAAATTTCTGTATACAGGTTCACTTTGCATTTGTGTATACAGCATTAAGAACCCTCATCGAAAACCTTTGGGTTTGAATGTATTTCACAATTTGGTCTGTTTAAATATTCTAGGAATTTAATAGGATTTAGATGTCACACGTTATATATTAAGCATATTAAAATTTCCTCAGAAGAAAAAGGTGGCAGCATGAGACGTGAGACAGAAGCATCCTCCCAAAACCACGTATACTATGAAAAATACAGCAAATACAACTAATCTTGAAATAGCAACAGGAAAGAAAGCTGCAGCAGACTGATTACACCTGGAACAGAACAGACCTCATGGAAAATGGTAATGTACCAGAGCCATAATCTGGAGGGACTCAAGCCCTTCCCCGATCCCAGCTCACCCATGGGAGGAAGAGAAATGGAGCAGGGAGTGGGTGGAGGCCTGGGACTGCTGAACACCCAGCTCTGGAGATTTGCTCTGGGACCACGGACCTACATTACATGGTGCTCGAGATTAGTGGAGCTGGAAAACTAAAACAGGCAGAATACTTGGGGAGACTGAGATTCCAGCCGCTTGTGGAGAACTGGTACCCACAACTGGTCACTCTAGGGCAAAAGAAAGGTGGGCACTCTGAGAGACTCCCTAACAGTAAGAGGGCTGCTTAAGGGGCAAAGACTGCACAGAGCTTGCTGCTCAGGAGAAAGGACAGGTGGACATAATTGTCCCAGGTAACTTTTCCCAGCAGGTTGGGAACCTTCAGGAGCTTCAGGCGCTCCATCCCCATGGCTGGCAACCAGATACGAGGACCCCCACCACAATACGCAGCCTCCCACTCATTTCTCCCAGCCTGCATTGGCTAGCAAACCATCTGTCCCTGCCACTGTGCCAGGCCAGTCGGAGAGTGGCCCTCCCTATGGCAGCTACAAGTGCATAGGATAGAGGCTCCTCCTTGCAACCTTGGCTCACTGGCCCTGGTAGTGGATGCAGGTATTACAGCTGGGAAGCAGGAAAGAGCTCTTTCCTACCAGCAGGCACCAGCACAGCTCGCCTGTGATCCCCATCATTACACCAGGGGCTGAGCAGCTCCAGAAAGTGGAGCTTCTGGGCACTAGAGGGCACCACCTACAAATACGAAATGTCAAAGGAACCTAGTGCAAACCAAAATCCCATGAACACCAGAAAGAAGGCCAAGTGAAACTGAACTCAATATATTCCTGAAGATTTCAAAATAAAAATCATAAACATGCTCACAGCTACAGAAAAATATTTAAGAACTCAGGGAGAAATTCAAGAATGAGATACAAACTTGGAAAAATACAGTATATAAAATAAAACATGCAATGGAGGGATTTAAAAGCAGATTAGAAGTAGAGAAGATGGTAAATGAAATAGAAATTAGAGAACAGAAACACACAGAAGTTGAGGCACAGAGAGAAAAAGGATCTCTAGGAATGAAAGAATATTGAGAGAACTGTATGACCAATCAAAACAGAACAATATTCACATTATGGGGATATGAGAAGAAGTAGAGAAAAGAGAAAGTGACTTTGAGGAGGCAATTGATGAAAACTTCCCCAATCTGGGGAAAGAGATAGCCTCTCAGGCCTGGAGGTGCACAGATCTCCAAACACAAGGGACCCAAGGAAGACAACACCAAGACATATAATAATTAAAATGGCAAAGATGAAGGATAAGGACAGACTATTAAAAGCAGGCAGAAAGAGAAAAAAGATCATATAGAAAGGAAAACCCATCAGGCTATCATCAGACTTCCCAGCAGATACCTTATAGGCCAGAAGGGAGTGGCATGATATATTTAATGCAATGAAACAGAAGAGCCTCGAACCAAGAATACTCTACTGGCAAGACTATCATTTAAATTTGAAGCAGGGATTAAACAATTTCCAGATAGGCAGAAGTTGAAAGAATTTACCTCCCACAAACCATCTCTACAGTGTATTTTGGAGGGAATGCTATAGATGGAAGTGCTCCCAAGGCTAAATAGCTGTCACCACAGAAAATAAAACCACAGTAAAGAAAGTAAACCAATTAATTAGTAAGCAAATGCAAAATTAAATCAACTACCTTCAGTCTTTCAAGGGACAAGGAGTACAGAATATGATATCTAGAGTATAAAGAAAGAGGAGGAAGAAAAAGGAGGAAAAGAGAAAACTTTTAGATTGTGTTTGTATTAGCATACTAAGTGAGTTAAGTTAGACTGTCTGATAGTAAAGAAGCTACCCTTGAACCTTTGCTAACCACGAATCTAAAGCCTGCAATGGCAATAAGTACATACCTATCAATAATCACCCTGAATGTAAATGGGCTGAATGCATCAATCAAAAGACAGATTCACAGAAAGGATAAAAACAAGACCCACCTATATGCTGCCTACAAGAGACTCACTTCAAACCCAAAGACATATACAGACTAAAAGTGAAAGGAAGAAAAAAGATGTTTCATGCAACTAATAAGGAGAAAAAGCTGGAGTCACAGTACTGGTATCAGACAAAATAGATGTCGAAAGAAAGTCACAAGAGACAAGGACATTACATAATGATAAAGGAGTGCAGAGCAACAAGAGAATATAAACATTATAAATATCTATGCACCCAACATAGGAGCACCTACAGATGCAAAATAAATACTAATGGAATTAAAAGGTGAAATAGCATTCATTCTAGGAGATTTCAACATACCAGTCACTCCAAACAACAGAGCAACTAGACAGAAAATAAGAAAGGAGACAAAAGCACTGAACAACACATTAGAACAGATGGACCTAACAGACATCTACAGAACTCTACACCCAAAAGCAGTAGAATACACATTCTTCTCAAGTATACATAACACATTTTCAAAAATAGATCACATACTAGGCCACAAAAAGAGCCTAAGTAAATTCAGAAGGATTGAAATTGTACCAACCAGTTTCTCAGAACACAAAGGTATGAAACTAGAAATTAATTAGGCAAAGAAAACAAAGTGCACAAACACATGGAGGCTTAACAACAGGCTCCTAAATAATCAATGGATCAATGAGCAAATAAAACAGATCAAGCAATATAGGGAGACAAATGAAAACAATATGTCAACACCACAAAATCTGTGGGATGCAGTGAAGGCCATCCTAAGAGGGAAGTATCCTGCAATACAGGCTAACCTCAGGAAAGAAGAAGAATATCATATGAACAGTATAAAATCAAAATTAATTAAACAGAAAAAGAAGAAATGAGGCCCAAAGTCAGTAGAAGGGGGGACATAATAAAGATTAGAGCAGAAATAAATAAAATTGAGAAGAATAAAAGAATAGAAAGAACCAAAGGAAGCAAGAGCTGGTTCTTCGAGAAAATAAACAAAATAGATAAAACCCTAGCCAGACTTGGCAAGAAAAAAAGAGAGTCTACACACATAAACAGAATCAGAAATGAGAAAGGAAAAATCACTACGGACACCACAGAAATACAAAGAATTACTAGAGAATACTATGAAAAATTAGATGCTAACAAATTGGACAGCCTAAAAGAAATGGACAACCTTCTACAGAAATGCAATGTGCCAAGCCTGACCCAGGAAGAAACAGAAACTCTGAACAGACCAATTACCAGCAAAGAAATTGAACTGGTAACCAAACACCTACCTAAGAACAAAAGCTCTGGACCAGATGGCTTCACTGCTGAATTTTACCAAACATTT